TCCCGCCATAAGGATCGTTCCCAGTGTTCCTTGTCACAGCGTCGTTCTTCTCACCATTATTAGCGATGCTTGTACGTCGAGTTGTTAGGTTGACTATGGATCGGGTAAGCAGCACCCGGCTTGACAGATTGGATGCTGGTACCCCCATTACCATTCGTAGCATAAAAAAGAAGAAAGAGGAAACACGCCATCAATATTATGTTACAATTGATTCGGAACCAAAGATGCTGAAAGTATAATACAAATCAGCAAACTAGTAATGTTGAATAAGAATTACTTTGAGTGCTTACCATAGTTTCAGCTAAAAGCCTTGTTCAGTTGATGTGGGAAGGGTCGATAAGTAAGGGATAATTGCGCATTTTTTTCGGTTTATTGACTTTTTCAACTGGCGCTTCGTCTTTCTATAATTCCTGAATAACCTGAAATTTAAACTGCAGCTAGCAAATTCACAGCAAACTGAAATTCAGCGCTCGGATGTCAGCGCTAGGTTGCCAGCGCTTGGGAAAATAGGTCCTGTGACCTGTTAAGAGTTGACGGGACCGAAACAGAGCTCCTCAGTTGTTCCCATCGGCCTCATCATTTGCATTACTTATTATTTTGTTCTATACAGTATAGTTCGGAGGAACCATTAGGGAAAGCCAGAAAACAACTGTTCGATTGCTTAGATCGAAAGGCCTGAGTGCGTAAATGGCATTGAAGAAGCTAGTGAACAAGATTCGAATAATTAATCAGATGGCCAGAAACATGGTATGGCCCTTCTACAAGCAAACGACCGAGTTTTTATAAACGACTGCAACTTGCAAATATTAAAGTACCTTGTCATCATTGAGGAAACAAGGCTAGTGCGTGACAGTGTTAGAAAATCTTGTAAGGATTATTTCGGTCACTTAACTTCATTCTGGCGTATACGAGGTGATGAATGAGAAACTGGACCTTCTGGTCCGGTTCATAAGCTTAAAACCGAAAATCACAGCAAGTGAGAAATGTGCACAAACTCTCAAATAGTAAGCTACATAAGCACGAATTTGCTGTATTGTGTTAGAAAGCCAACTTCCACCCATAGAATGGCAAGCAAGCAGATTTCATCGCTATACTTATGGCTACGTTATTTAGGACTCAGGCCATCGATGAAAATAGAAAGTTGTCTGGAGTCGAACGGTCCGCTACCAGTAATAGAACAAGTATCCGTATTCTGCAGAGTACCAAACCAACACAATATTGCACGAATGACAAGTCGTAATCACTCACAAGGATACGCTATCTTCAATTCATAGTCACTGATAAGGGATGAATAACAGTTTCGCCTTTGAGAAAGCGTGGGTGATCGGCCTATTCAGTGACAGAGTGGTGCCTGAGAGTTGGTTCTCCACCGGTGCAATCATGAAAGCTATCAGTCTGAAGCCCGCATACCAGGCTGTTCGTACGAGGCTCGGATCCCCAAGTACGAGGCCAATGGCGCAAACACGCATGCGGAACCGGAGCTGCCGATCATGAACTATGTGGGGAGGCGGCGACTGAAAGTTGCATAACGGACTTCGAATGATCCCCAATCGATACGTACGCAGAGTGGAAAGCAACTCACACTAACAGCGACGACTGATCAGCCGGCTAATTTGACCAACAGTTATGCTGACTTGGCATATACACATATGCTAAGCAAGTGATAGGACAACAAGCCTGTATCTCACTGTGAAACTATATGTCCGGAATGATGGAAGTAAGCAGTGCCTTAAAAGCCTGCATACCGCATCTTGGATTACGACGAACTTGTCATCAACATGTCTGGCTCAGAATTTTGAGGGTACGGGTGGAAGAAAAAAATAATTGAGTTTCTAGGAAAAAGTTCCTATAGAAAGTGCGGACAAAGGCGAGCCCAATGATGTCCACTTCTTTTGCTCGTAAAATAGGCCATTAAATGTGAGAAATGTTTAAGGACATAATTCCCGGAGCTCGATGATGTGCATTCGCTTGAGTTGTTGATCGATATTGTCATACTTTGTCGATGAAATCGGAATGGGGTGCCACATAAGGCGACTGTGCAGGGTAGGGGCATTCCTGACTTGTGTACTTTCGGCTAGCCGTACAAGCGCTCTATTGCCGTTTCGGTGATGTTGCGACCAGTGCTCCCCATCACATAAAAGCATCCACTCTCATCGGCTGGGCTATTGTCATGCTTATGCTGTGCATAAGATATTTAAACTAGTTGTCAGCCGAAGGCTCACGAGATTCGATGTACACTAAGAGGCTCCCCAGTTTCCTCTATTATTCGTTCTTGTTCAAGAGGTCCTTTTAGAATCCTTAGCTATTGCACAGTAAGATTTTATTTTTCGTTCTTCATATTTCCAGAAGTCCTTGATCTTCAAGTTCGGAAGTGATAATATGGGCTTTGTGTTTGAGAAGTAAAGACGATAATTTGTTAGTGCATGGTGCGCTTGAACTCTGTCTCATCCGGGGGCCGATTCGAAGGATGCGACAAAGTCTTCTGTTCCAGAAACTCGAGTACTAACTAAAAACCAAGACGCGTGTTTCACCAATATTTTGCCTTTGTCTTCAGGGCGCTATTCAATATCATTTTTACTACTGGTGTAGAAAGCGAGAACATTCTGACTACGAATATTGAAAATGGTAACGTTCAGTGATCAGCCTAGCGGATACTTTTGCCTTGTTGCGCCGCGGCACTTAATGTGTAGCTCTTGCATGAAGGCCCAATGTGACTTGCAACGATGCACTGAGGAGTACCGGCAGATACAAGGAGGTTGGGATTAACACTTCTGCTTGGTAAGCAGACGTAAGATTTGGATGCCTTGGAAATCTACAAGGAATCTTGTCTTATCAACCGTTAGGTTCAACACCATAACATATTGTTTTAGTATCTGATTAGTTAGGGAATATTTACTAAGGTGGAAATATCATTCGCAGATCAGATAATTTGGCTATTCCAGTGTCCAGTGTACAACGATCTGCTAGCGCGTGCTTCAAATTGCGGTTTAAATTTCTCGTCCTCCGTGGGAAATATTATTTT